TGAAGATATCCCAACCCATCCACCTACCTTAGGATTCATTCTCCCATTCCATCTACCTTAGGATTCATTCTCCCATCCCATTTACCTTAGGATCTCTCAACACAGTGCTACTTAAAAAACATAATTCTCCCAGATATTTGCAAATTATATATCTAATAAAGGATTAATATCCAAAATATATAAAGAACTTAACAACTCAACAGCAGAAAAACAAATAATCATTTAAAAATGGGCAGAGGGACACCTGGGTGGCTCAGTTGGTTAAGCATCTGCCTTTGACTCAGGTCATGATCCCAGGGTCCTGGGATCAAGTCCCGCATCGGGCTCCTTGCTCAGCAGGGAGTCTGCTTCTCCCTCTGCCTGCTGTTCTCTCCCTTTCTCTCTCTCTCTCTGACAAATAAATAAATAAAAATCTTTAAAAAAAAAATAGGCAGAGAACCTAAGTAGACCTTTTTCTAAAGAAGATACACAAATGGCCAACAGACACATAAAAAGACACACAAGCCGGCATAATGTATAGACTTGTCAAATCACTATGTTGTACACCTGAAACTAATGTAACATTGTGTGTCAACTATACTTCAATTAAAAAAAAAAAAGAATGAGGGGTGCCTGGGTGGCTCAGTCAGTTAAGCATTGGACTCTTGGTTTTGGCTCAGGTCATGATCTCAGGGTGGTGCGATCAAGCCCCATGTTGGGCTCCACATTGACCATGGAGCCTGCTTTGAATTTTCTCTCTCCCGCTCCCTCTGCCCCTAGCACTCCCACCCTCATTCATACTCTCTCTCTTAAAAAAAAAAAAAAAATGATTAGGGGTACCTGGGTGGCTCAAGATCCAGAGATGTGTCCCTTTGAGTCTTTGACTAAGTACTGATCAAGCGTGGGAAGAAATTACTCAAGACTAAGAAAAAAAAAACACTGAAAAGGAGGCAGAACAATTCCTGGATCACACACAGGATGGGAAATAGTCTGTTTTCACCAACTAGAATGCAAAAACATAAGATACAGACCAGGAAGACTCCTCAGAATGTTGCCTTAGTAGTGGGGTTAAATTAGCCCTAGGAAAAATGCAGTTCAGGGACTGTTCTAAAAAAGCTTAAACTGTAAGTCTCATATAAATAAAAATTCCCTAAGGAAAAAAAGTAAGGCTCAAAGAGATCCAACTAACTCCAAGAAAGTAAAATGCATGCCAGAAATAAAAACTAACAATATGTAAAGGAATAAAACAAAATCCAGCAACCAACTATATACATTCACAATTGTCTGGCATCCAGTACAAAATTATCAGCTATTCAAAGAAGCAGGAAAATAAGGACAATTATCAAAGAGAAAAACCAATCATTACAGACTCAGAAATGACAAACATGATGGAACCAGCATCTGAGGACATTAAAACAGCTATTTTAACTATGCTTCATATGTTCGAGGGAGAGAAAAATATGAGCATGATAATGAGAGAAATAGAAAATTTTAAAAAGATCCAGATGGAATTTCTAGAGATGAAAAGTACAGTATCTGAAAAACTGAGAGCAGATTACACTGCAGAAGAAAAGATCAGTTAGCACAAAGATATCTAAAATGAGAAAGGAAAGACTGAAAAAAATGGACTGAGCATCAGTGGCCTGTGGGACGATAGCAAACAGTCTATAACATGGGCAGATTCTGTGTCAAGAGGAGAAGGGGAGGGGGACAAAAAATTGACAAAACATGGCCAAAAAATTCCAAATTTTATTAAGACTATAAACCTTTAGATGGAAGACACTCAATGAACCCCAAACAATAAACAAAGTTCAAAACCACATAAAACAAATCACTATATGGCTTAAGAACATATACAGAGGGCAAAAACAAAGAAAGACAAACAAATTCACCAAAATTCAGGATAGTGGTTACCCCTACGGAGGATGAGGAATGTGGTCAGAGGGGAGCACAAAGGCTTCAAATCTATTAGTATGTGCTTTTTTTGAAGTGGCATAAAGGGTAAATAAGTTATTACTTTAAATTGTATATAAGCTTTTTTGCACACGATAGACATCAACAATAAAAATATAGAAAAATAACTTCATCCATTCTCTTTCCATGTCACTTAGAACACAAGTTATAGACCTGGGAGTTATCCTTGACCGCTCCCTCCCCAACCAAATCCACCTATCACCAAGGTTGATTTTATCTCTTAAATCTTTCTGCAACTCTCCACCTACACTGCCACACCCTGTCCAAGCCATCTTCCACTCTCACCTGGAGCACTCCCTTTCTTTTAAGCAGAAGCCATTCTTTTTTTTTTTTTTTTTAAGATTTTATTTATTTGACAGAGAGCACAAGCAGAGGGAGAGAGAGGGAGAAGCAGGCTCCCTGCTGAGCAAGGAGCCCGATGTGGGACTCGATCCCAGGACCCTGGGATCATGACCCGGGCCGAAGGCAGCCGCTTAACCAACTGAGCCACCCAGGCATCCCAGCAGAAGCCATTCTTAAACAGGACTAATTCTCTCTTCAGCTTGGAGGTGTCAATCTTGCCCCACTTGCTATTGATACAGAGATAAGTAAATTGCCACAAGGCCACATGGCCAGGAAATGGCGGGAGGCAGGATTCAAAATCTAATCTTACTTGGGAGCCCACAAGGTCTTTACCCAACGCACTATCCTGCCTGGTGTTGAACAAGATAATACTGGAAAAGACTTAGCCATGGCTTGCCATGAGCTAACCTGTAACCTTTTTCTCTTCCAATAACTTCCTCACCTCTTTATCTGCCTCCTAGTTAGTCCTTACCTCTGAGCTCAAACCGTATTTCCTGAGGGAATGCCTTCCTAAGCCCCTTGTGCTGTTACAGGCAAGTCCCTGGTATTTGTCCTCACTGCACTCTGTACATGTCTATCATCCTTCCTCCACTAGATTGTGACCTCCACAAGGGCAGCGGCCCATGTGGCCCCCCCCCCCACTGTAGTGTATGTGGCACACCCCTGCCCACTCTGGCTCCTCCCAGTTCCATTCCTTGGTGAAAGGGAAGGGTCACCAACAGACCTCTCTTTGATGTTCCAACAAGCAATCTGGCCTTCTGACCCTACCAGCAGGGATGTGTGTGAGCCACAGGGGATGGAGAACAGCCCTGGCCCACTGAGCTTGAAATGTCCTGCTTCACAGAAGGGACCCAGTGCCCAGGGGGGAATGAAAGAAACTTCAGGCACTGGAGACCTGGGGCCACTCACTGGGTCACAGTCGAATACCCCTTGCCTTTATTTATCATATCCACTCCCCTCACTCAGAGTTTGGGTGGAAGGCACCTGAATGCCTGGCCCAGGTACCCTGGGGCCACTAGGGGAACAGACCAAGGTGGCCATACAGGAGGGGGTGAGGGTGGGGATGGGGGGTGACAGGCGTCACCATATCTGTGGGATTTCCACAATGCCCAGAATAAATTTGAGCCCCCAGAGGTTTGGCTCCTCTCTTTGGCAACACTGAGTACTTTCAGAATGTTTAACTGTAGTTTTAATGCCCCACAGCAAGGCACTGTCATGCTCTGTGTCCTTAGTGTCGAACACAGGACATGACCAAGGGTAGACTTCCAGGAAACGGAGGTCTGGCTAGCCCCCATGAGTCCTTCAGGTTTGACTCAGGCACCTCCTTGAGAAGTCTTTCTTCCCTGACACACCTTTCCATTGTCCCTGTGCCCCCCACCATGAGTCCCCACAGCAGCAATGCTCTTTTTAGTGGGCTCAAAGAACATTTGTCGGATGAATGGAAGCTTGCTGGTTGATTCTTCTCTGAGCAGTTGTGTTGGTCCAGGAATCTGTCTGGAATTCTTTTCTATTCATTTACCTGCTCAGTTTATTCCAACATTTAAGGGATTACTAGATGTTAAATATACTCACTGAGCTCCGTGGTGACCTCCCCCAGAAAGCCTTTCTGACCTTCCCATTTAGGTGTTCCTCCTCTCCGTGGCCACCACGCCTAGGTGGACTTCTCAGCCCCTAGACCAAGATGATCCCTTGGCCACAGGAACCAGACCTGATTCATCTCTCTGTGGCCATCACCTGGCAGGGCTTGGCAACACCTGCAGAAGATATCATCTCTAGAGTAGAGAGATTCTGATTGGGATCCCAGCTCTGCCACCTGAGTTTGGGTAAGTTCCTTTCTATTAGTTTGCTGGTGAGTGGAATGGTTGGCTAAGATGTCCAGAAATGAGACTCAAAACTACCTGAGTACCCAGGATAGTCATTATGCCCTCTACCCTACAGAAGGAAAAAAGGCAGGACAGGGCCTTTAATACCTGGTATTTGGTAGTCCAGGTACCTGGTCTCAGTTAGGGGAGGAGAGGAAGTTACAATAGGCTTTGTCCTTCTCTGCCCCAGTCTAATGTCCTCCACCCCCAGATCACCTAGAAAACAGAGCCTAAAACAAGAACTAAGTACTGATGTTTTATTTGAGAGGTGCAAACCCAGGGCACTGAGTGAGAAAAGGGAAGCAAGGCAAGGAAGAACTGACGGTAATGCAAAGTGATACCAATTGGGTCCTGCTTCATGACAAGCCTTGAAAAAACACAGCAGGTGTGTCCAATGGCTACTTGGGTGATCTCCCCATTGGTGGAACTGTTTGGAGAAACAGTGCCTTGCAGCAATTGAGGAAAAGGAGGGAAGAAGGTATTTATCTGTCCGATTCTCTCCCATCTCCCATTAGTCAAATGTTATCTCAGGAGAATTTACTACCCCACCCTTCTGGGTTGCTAATAGCAACTTGAGATGCCAGATTCCATGCCCTGCAGCAGGGCATTCCATCCAAGTCTGGAAGCTAGAGGAGAGTCAGTCTCTGGGCATGTGGCTGATGAGTGCCAGAGAGAATTTGATTCAGTACATAAGATGTGTCCAAAACAGTCCAAAACTGTTTTTCTCATTTACCAGTAAGGAAACATGGCATAGTGATCAAACCCCTTTTCCAAGGTCACATGGCTAGTAAGTGGTAAATTCAGGTTTTAAACATAGTTTGGCTCTGGAAACTATAGAAGACCAAGATAAGGAAGTTGGATTTTATGTAGCAGGCAAAGGAGAGTCACTAAAGAGTTTCAAGCTGGGGAGTGACACAAGATAAAGAGCTTTTTGATAAAGCTCTCAATCTCTACTTGCCTTCAGTTTCCCATGCGGCCAACCTTGGCAAAAGTAGGTGGCCCCAAAGAGGTGAAGGCATGCAAGACAGTTTTGAGGAGTCTCTGACTGGGTCCAGAGCTCATATAGGCTTTAACACCACCTCATGATCGTTCTCTGTCTTCATCTAAGCCTATACCTACTGAAGACTAGCTGGTCAGAGAAGCCAAGATGAGGAGAAAGGGAGACTGGCCTAAAGACCAAGAGCAGGACGACCAGCCATCTGTCCATTGTTGGCCTGTGGGTCTGGGGATCCTGGTGCCTGTCGATGAATCCTCTGGTGTTGCCTGAGATGGTCAGATCTCATGAATTGTCGACCGCATTGATCACATCTATGTGGTCGATATCTGGTGTGTATCCGCGTATGTCGTCCAAGCTCATCAGAACGGAAGAAAGACCACATACAGCCTTCCCACATGCATTTATAGGGCCTCTCACCTGTGGGGAGGTGACAAGGAACAGAAGAAATTAAGTAGAAGAATATGCCAGCACATGCATAGGAAGGAGTCTGACTCTATTGAGGAAGAGCAGTCAAGGTTGAGAAACCAAAGGAAAACCAAGGGAAAGCAGTGAGGAGGCAACACAATCAGCAGCCCATGATTTTGGCACGGCCACACTGGACGGTGGGAGAGCAAAATGGTGGTGCCAATATAGCTTGACCCCAAGCTTGAAGGATGACAAGCTAATCCCAAGCCATTACAAACCAGTGGTCTAGCACAGATCTAAAGCCCAGACACTCCTCTACCCCACCCAACCCTACCCCACCTATCTGACACCTCATTCACCTGTGTGTTTGCGTTGGTGACTCACAAGGTGGGAGCGCTTAGTATAAGCTTTTCCGCAGCTTTCATACTGGCAGCAGTAAGGCCTTGAAACCGGGGATCTCCTCCTGAGAGCCCTTTCCTGGGCCCTGGAGTTCCACTCTGCTCTCTGTGGAGCATGCATGGGCTGTTTGGGTAAGGGGTCTTCCTGGGAGCCTGGCTGGATGAGAGGGTGCTGGGATTCTAAAGCCAGAAATGATGGGGACCCAGCTGGGTTCACCCTAAAGTCATGGGGTTCTCTAGGGGGCAACCTCTGAGTCAAAGAAGGGAGCATTGCCTGGGCCTCAGGAGAAGGCATGGTTGGGGCCAATAACATTTTAGGTGTTAAAGAGTCTCTGTTAGAAGGTACTGTTGGGGGGCCAGAATAAGGCATTGTTGGCACACTGATGTGGGATGTCATTGAGATTACACTGGGAGCTGAGACTGGCGGCCCACTGGGGGCCATCCTTAGATTCCTAGCAAAGGTCATGGCCACCCTTGGAGTACTGGGCTCTCCTAAGGGCATCATCTGGGGCCCCTTGAAAATCATTATTCCTGGCTGGGAGGAAGGCAGTCCCTCACAGTAAATCATCTGGGAAGGAGTCACTTGGGAGCAGTAGCTCACACCATGCTCAGGCAGTGACATACTGAACTGTGGCCCCATTTCACTTGCATTCTGCCTGGGTGCCTCAGCTAAGGCCAAGGGGATCCTCTCCAGCTCTGTGTACTGAAGGAAGTGTTGAAAGCCTGATGCGCCATCATTCCAAGAGGTGTGCCCTCCACTGCATCTAGGAGGTGGAGACGTGTCCAAGATGGACATTGACTTCTCAGTATCCTTGAAGAGAGAGAAGTGAAATTCACCCTAGTTCAAATTCCAGTTCCACATGTCCTTCCTTCCCATCTCCAGACTCTACCCTAATCCAGCCTCCAATATCTCTTGCCTGAATTATCCTGCTACCCAACCATTCTCCAGTTTGGACTTTTTAAGATGCAAGTCTAGCTGATAGGAGCACAGTAGCAGCCTAAATGTGACTCATGCCATTTTTCCTCCTTGTCATGATTTTGTTTATTTCATAAAAAGCAACGAAGAGAGCAAATAAAATATTCCACAACCAAAAAAAAGAAAAAATATTCCACAAGCGGCACCTTCAGCAAAACTCTGAGAAAACCTTCAAAGATTATCTTTAAGTGTGAGGGTAAAAGAACATCCAAAATCAGCCTAAGTGCAGAAAGCCACAAGAGTTAAGAGGTCCTGAGGGTTCAGATGGGTCATGGCTTTAGCAAAACTTAGAAAGCATCTGCAAATATTTACTTACAGAAGAGGGTCTCAGCTGAGTTGGAACTGCTGTGGACAAGTCTGACTGAGATCAAGCATTGGAGGAGGGGAGGAAAAGAGGCAGGCTTTTTTTTTTTTTTTTTTTGAAGATTTTATTTATTTGACAGAGAGAGACACAGCGAGAGAGGGAACACAAGCAGGGGGAGTGGGAGAGGGAAAAGCAGGCTTCCTGCTGAGCAGGGAGCCCGATGCGGGGCTCGATGTGGGGCTCAATCCCAGGACCCTGGGATCATGACCGGAGCCGAAGGCAGATGCTTAACCAGCTGAGCCACCCAGGTGCCCCAAGAGGCAGACTTTTAACAAGGAAGTCAAGAGGCAGCATTCCTGGATGACTGACTGGATATGAAGGGACGTAAAGAAGAGATTGGTGGTGGAACCTCTTGAAACAGGACAGGATCCAAGAATCATATTTTTTAAAGTTGTCCATCACTGTAGCATTAGAGAGAGCTCTTGAGCTAAAAACTGGGGCCCCTTGAAAATGGCTCCACTACTCCATAACCTCCCATCTACTCCTCCACTGTGACAGTCCAGAAGAGACCAATCCATTCAAATATGAAAACCAAAACATAAGTAAAAAATACAGTATCCATAAAAGATACTAAAACACCAACAGAAATTGAAGATTGCAATCTCAGGAAAAAAAAAAATGGGGGCGCCTGGGTGGCTCAGTTAGTTAAGCATCTGCCTTCAGCTCAGGTCATGATCCTGGGGTCCTGGGATGGAGCCTGCTTCTCCTTCTCCCTCTGCCCCTCCCCCTGCTTGTGCTTGCACGACTCTCTCGCTCTCTTTTGCTCTCAAATAAATAAATAAAATCTTTAAAAAAATCACCAGAAAAAATGTTGCCACAGATCAAGGAAAAATGAGCAACATTCACACACACACACACGAAAAGAAAGAACTTAAGAAAGCAATTTCGGCTTTACACCAATTACAGAAACACCACAGAGTAGAAATAGGGGAATTCAAAGAAGTTACGTCCAGATAATAGGCTACAAGTTATATTAGAGGGGAGGGGGGGACAAAATAAGCATCAGGGGGCTTCTGTGGTGGTGGCAATGTTTCATAGATCTTCACTTTGTACTCATCCATTAGGCCATACACTTATATTCACGTCTCTGTTTGAGTGTTATTTTTCATTAAAATAGTTTTAAAATAATATTGTGAGAAATCAGGATTTTCAGCAAGTGAAAAATTCTGTTATAAAAATCAGAGTAAAAATCAATTAAAAATAATGGTGAATTTAAATAAGAAATATTTTATACATTTTTCCCTCCTAAGAGGGAATTTACAGCTATAAATGCTTATAATCTCTAATCAACAACTTAGCTTTACACCTTAAGGAACTAGAAAAAGAAGAACGAACTAACCCCAAAGCTAGCAGAAGGAAGGAACTATTAGAAAAATATCAATGAAACCAAGAGTTGGTTCTTTGGAGAGATTAACAAAATTGCCAAATCTTTAGCTAAATTGATCAAGAAAAATATGAAAGTGAGGACATTACTACCAATTTTACAGAAATGAAAAAGATTATGAGAGTACTATGAATAATTTCATGCCAACAATTTGGATAACCTAAATGAAATGGATAAATTCCTAAAAAGACCAAAACCTACCAACACTGAATCATGAAGAAATAGAAAATCTATACAGACCCATAACTAGTAAAGAGACTGAATCAGTAATCAAAAGCCTCTAAGACAAAGAAAAACCCTGAACTTGATGGCTTCATGGTGAATTCTAAACATTTAAAGAAGGATATCAATGCTTCCAAAATTTTTCCAAAAAATTGAATACTTGCTACCTCATTCTCACATTGCCTTGATACCAAAGCCAGACAAAGCCATCACAGGTAAAAATAAACAACAGGCCAACATTTTTCATGAATATAGATGCAAAAAAATCCTCAAAAAAAAATTTAGCAAACCAAATCCACCAGCATATTTTTTTCCCACCAGCATATTAATCAGATTATACAACATGACCAAGTGGAATTTATTCCAGGAACACAAGGCTGATTCAGCATCTGAAAATCAGGGGGTGGGGGGGGCCGGGGGGGGCAGAAAAAGCATCTGAAGCAATCCAATACCCTTTCATGATTAAGAAAAAAAAAAAACTCTCAAAAAAAAACCCTCTCAAAAAACGAGAAATAGAAACTTCCAATTTGATAAAAGGCATTTCATTTATGAAAAACCCACAACTTACATCATATTCATGATGAAAGACTGAAGGCTCTTTAAGATCAAGAAGACAAGGATGCCTGCTTTTACCATTTTTATTCAACATTGTATTGGAAGTTCTAACCAGAGCAGTTAGATAAGAAAAACAAAAGGCATCCGTATTGGAAAAAATAGTAAACTATCTGTTCCCAGATAATATGATCTTATATGTAGAAAACCCTAAGGATTACACACACACACACACACACACGTTAGAACTAATAAATTCAGCAAAAGTAGTAAGATTCATTTTTTTTTAAATTATTTATTTATTTATTTATTTATCTATGTATTTGAGAAAGAGAGAGAGTACATGCATGTGAGTGGCAGGGAGGGGCAGAGGGATAGGGAGAGAATCTCAAGCAGGCTCTGCACTGAGCAAAGAGCCCAACTCAGGGTTCCATCTCACAACCCTGAGATCATGACCTGAGCTGAAACCAAGAGTCAGACACGTAACCAACTGAGCCACTCAGGCACCCCAAAAGTAGTAAGATTCAAATTCAAGACACGAATAGATACTTTTCTAAAGAAGACATCCAGATGGCCAACAGACTCATGAAAAGATGCTCAACATCACTCATCATCAGGGAAATACAAATCAAAACCATGATGAAATATCACCTCACACCTGTCAGAATGGCTAAAATTAACAACAGAAGAAACAACAGGTGTTGGCAAGGATGCAGAGAAAGAGGAACCCTCTTGCACTGCTGGTGGGAATGCCACTCTGGAGAACAGTATGCAGGTTCCTCAAAAAGTTAAAATATCCCCAGTGGAACCACGAAGCTGTAATTAGGGGCACCTGGGTGGCTCAGTTGTTAAGTGTCTACCTTCGGCTCAGGTCATGATCCCAGGGTCCTGGGATCGAGCCCCACATCGGGCTCCTTGCTCAGCGGGGAGCCTGCTTCTCCCCTGCCTGCCACTCCCCCTGCTTGGGCTTGCTCTCTCCTTCTCTGTGTGTCAAATAAATAAATAAATAAATAAATAAAAATCTTTAAAAAAAAAAGTTAAAATAGAACTACTCTGTGATCCAGCAATTGCACTACAAGGTATTCACCCAAAGTACACAAAAATAGATTCAAAGGGGTACATGCACCCCGATGTTTATAGCAGCATTATCAACAACAGCCAAATTATGGAGAGAGCCCAAACATCCATCGACTGATGAATGGATAAAAACACACAATGGAATATTACTCAGCCATTAAAAAGAATGAAATCTTGGGGGCACCTGTGTGGCTCAGCTGGTTAAGTGATTGACTCTTAATTTCAGCTCAGGTCATGATCTCAGGGTCATGAGATCAAGCCCCATTATCGGTTTCTGTACTGGGTGTGGAACTTGCTTAAGATTCTCTCTCTCTCTCTCTCCCTCTGCCCTTTCTCCCACCTCCCTTTCCCTCTCTTAAAAAAAAAGAAAAGAAAAAGAAAAAATCTTGCCACTTGCAATGATGTGGATGGAGCTAGAGTGTATTATGCTAAATGAAATTAGTCAGAGAAAGACAAATATCATATGATCTCATTCATATGTGCAATTTAAGAAAGAAAACAGATGAACATATGGGAAGGGAAAAAAGGAGAGAGGGAAACAAACCATAAGAGACTCTTAATGATACAGAACAAACTGAGGGTTGATGGAGGGGAGGTGGGGGGGATGGGCTAGATGGGGGATGGGTATTCGGGAGGGCACTTATGAGGGGCACTGGGTGTTGTATGTGAGTGATGAATCACTGAATTCTACTTTTTTTTTAAGATTTTATTTATTTTTCAGAGGGAGAGTGAGAGCGCACACACTGGGGGAGAGACAGGCAGAGGGAGAAGCAGGCCCCCTGCTGAGCAGGGAGCCTGATGTAGGACTCGATCCCAGGACCTTGGGATCATGACCTGAACTGAAGGCAGATGCTTAACCAACTGAGCCACCCAGGCATCCCTGAATTCTACTCCTGAAACCAATATTGCACTGTAGGTTAACTAACTAAAATTTAAATTAAAAAAAAAAGATTAAAATTTAACACACAAAGATCAGTTGTTTCTATACACTGACAATGAACTAACTATAAAGGAAATTAGAAAATCAGGGGTGCCTGGGTCGCTCAGTCAGTTAAGCGTCTGCCTTCAGTTCAGGTCATGATCTCAGGGTCCTGGGATCGAGACCCACATCGGGCTCCCTGCTCCACGGGGAGTCTGCTTCTCCCTCTCCCTCTGCCTACTTGTGCTCTCTATCTCTCTGTCAAATACATAAATAAAATCTTTTTAAAAAGAAAATCAATTCAATTTACAATAGCA